TTATGCCTGTCGACTAGAACGGTCTCAACCAAGCGTGAAAACTCAGTATTTATCATAACCCGTTGTACATAACTCACGAAAAATCATTATAGCAAGACACACAAGTTAACAAGAAAGCACACCTATATCAAAAGTTAGCCTTCGAGGCCTTCACTCGATCAAAATGTCGGCAACCAAAGTTGTTGGGATATGAGCAATCCAAAGAAAACCCACATACCCAGCTGGCTCAACATGGCAAAAAGAACATCAGTGCGACGCGACTACAATTTAACTTGACTTGATGAGTTGACCTTCCAAAAGTCATCCTTCCTCGTCCTCAATATAGCCAAAAGACTCTAAGTTGCACTCCTCGTAAGGAGAAAGACACTAAATATATATATATATATATATATATATATATATATATATATATATATATATATATATCAGCGAAACCTTTTGTGTAATGTACAAGAATAACCTCGATATAACTCATTGGTCTTACTTTGGTTCTATTAATTGAAACATACAGACAAAACATTTATGACAAACTCCTAAGTCGTGCCTTGAATGGTTCCATAAGAAATCATAACTTAGTTGGACGCTCATCTACACGCAACTTCAGGATGTTGTCGCATGGTGTGAGTTGGCTAATCATCAGTGTATATTGATTAACTCAAATGTGTACTTCATCTTTCTCTCTTTGCTCGCGATTTCATTGCACATAATGGTATAACTAACAACTTATCATGTGAGTCGAAAACATTCATCGTTCTCCATGACGTGCTGTCCACCTACGCCCAAAAAATTATATCTCTCTCTCTTATTTGTGGCAGATTTATGCCCTGACCAATGCACGAGCTATTATCCTTGTCCGCACATGCAATAACCCCTCGGTGAAATCATCAGGGCAATCTGAATACTATCCATCCGACAGTCCTATCTACATTTTTTTTTTTTTTTTTAATTATTCCCTCGTTAAGCCAAAATATAATGGCTCCCTCCACAGGATAGTAGGACGTACAACGCCTTTGCGACTCAAAGGAAATCTCTAGAGGTCGCTCATCGTCGTGATACGGTCGACACCCCTCGTAGGTCTGAACCTCTAATTTGTCAAGGCGTGTGAGCTCGTTGATGTCAAAAATCAAAGTCGTGACACATCCGCCTCGCAGTCCGAGTACCATAGATTGCGGTCATCCATGAAGCCAGCCGCCACACTGTAGCTCGGAATGGTCTGCTTATCTTGAACAAGTGTCGCGTCTCGGTGTCTCGGATCCGACGACGTCAAAGCGATCGCCGGACGATGTAATTTTGGCATTCACAGTGACTCGAGAGAGACATTGGAGACTACTCGCGCGATGGAATACAGAGTATAAACTATTTTGGTGTTCGAGCCACATTGGCTCGAACGTCCGAGCACGAGTCTGGAAAAAAACCTTGACCGCGCTGAAGCATGTCAATGAAACCAATCCATTGGGTTTGAATACCGTCTCGAACAATCAAAAGATGCTCCGCTCCCTCAATCAACATGACATCAAGTGTATCACGAATAAGGAGATACCTCGAAATGGTAAGGTTAAAAAATACATCAAACATTAATCAACACAAAAAGCCGACACTCCTTTTTCGCGAGCTACTATGAAAAGAAAACCTCTCACTTGAATTGTCGAAACCTATTATCGGGGGTTCGACAATAATGATGGACATAAATGAATGGACCATGCGCTCATTATAGAGCAAGAGCATCAAAAGGAAAAACCACCTCACTTCTGGAGTCTCCCCGGTATACAAAGAACACTCATTACTGTGTCGAATCAAAAGGCGAGATACTCCATCACTCCTCCGAGGTGTGAATCTGTAACAGATTATGTGCCTTGCAATGTGAGTGTGGAAAAGGCACAATCGAGAGGGGTTTCTCAAACTCTCTTGCCAGAACTGCGATCTATTCCTCGCGGGAAAAACGATAGACTGGTCATAAATCAGTCGCCTGGTTTTTACCATGCCGACCTCTTCTTCGCTCCATTCTAACATCCAATCGCTTGCCTCCTTACAAGTGTAGAAAAACCTTGCCACTGCCGCAATGTCTGTCATTTGAAAAAACTTAATAATCTCATTCGTAAACGCTCATCCTGTCTAAACTGTGAGCACCTTTATCTTTAAGTTTTTTTTCCTTTTGCATCTATTCACTCGCTCCGCCAAAACCAAATTACTTTACGTCCCAAGAAGTCGTCATAAGTTGCGCACCTCAAGCCGGTAAGTGACTTCGAAAATTGTCTATTAGTGATTTCGAAGCGGTTAGCACGGATCCATTCGAGAAACTCAATGTCGTCAAATGGACCTATGCGGCCATCGTAATGCAGGATCAGCCTGAGGTATAACCATTTAAACTCATGGTCGTATTGCGCCCTCAAGTCCCCATCTTCGAACCCATAGATAATACTCATGTCGACCCAACCTGAGCGCTGAGTTCGGACAAAATTTGGTTCAAAGATTTGTAGATGAGTTGAGGTAATAAATAAATAGGTTCGTGGCAGGTTCCTTGTCATGCCATGATCCATTATTAACGCTTTCCCCAAAGGAAACACTGTGACCGAGTCGAAAACACGATTCATTCTTTACTCTCTCGCTGCACAGTCATCTATATGTGCGGCGACCAACCCGTTCTAGGATCACTCTGCGCCTTCCCACCTAAACTACGTATCTTGTGGCAGCCTCTGTGTTTAGAAACAACATAATGGTCGCAAGTATCATAGACATCTGGAAAAAAAAAAACACGAGTGATCCTCATAAGTTGCTAAGTCTGAACAAGATGAACATTTTTTTTTTTCTTTTACAACTCTCCACCCGTCCAATTTAACTACCGTATTTGGCTAGTAATTTAGAGACCTATCTTCATTGAGCGTTTGTCATGATCCCGCGCTTCTTATGGTGTAAGCCTCTCGGGATGAAAACGCTTGTATGTGTTCCGTACAAAACTTGGGTTATAACAGGTTGAGCTTCTTATGACGCCAGCCTTTCAAACCGAAGGTGACTCCTACATCAGCCGTATGAAGGATCCGCTAGTTCAGTCTCTTTTTCCGTGTACAGGTGTGGAGAGACAAACGTTGACTCATGATAACCATCGCGCGTCCCACTCACTAAGAAGTGGTCTGGAGTACTCATGCTCCTCGCCCGAGCCAAAGGCTCGGATCCCATAAGTCGGATCGTCTCCACCGAACTGGGTCCCCCGGTAAAACGGTCCACTCCAGGTCGATAACAGTGCAGGCTTCTAAAGCAACGAACCCCCGCTCCATAATTACAGGACCTCCTAGAGTGAGGAAGCCCTCAGACTTAGAGTCAGGTTGACTGCCCCACCCCTCTATGTAGGAAAACAACTTAGATGAAACAAAAGTTCAAAGGAAGAGAAGAGTCAAAACTCATTTGACGGGAACTGATCTAGAGGGCCTTCGGGATAGGTAAAAGGGTACCTTAGAGTCTGACTAAGTTTATTCATTTCTTTTCTTTTTTTCCTGTTACCGAGGTTCTTTCTTCGATGGTCATTACTTTTCCCTCAAAAAGTCAAATCGTCTACTTGACCAGTAGGTGAAAACATTAAGGAAAAAGGGTAGGAAAGCATTAACTTTTTCATCTCCACATTCGACGAGATCTAAGTTTTTTTTCGGCACACTTTCCCTTCGCCTACCTGCATGACAAGCAAACAAACAATTTTGAGGATTCAACCAGAAACCCCCCACTCAAGTCAGACCAAGTATCCCACACAAGCATGTTTCAACAACTTTTCTCCCATTTAACTTTTCCTTGAGCACCCAAAAAAAAGAGAAGGGTCAAACAACATATGGGCACACATAAAGTGTGAGAGGATCAGAGTCATTCACTGACCTTGAGTAAAATTGGTATCAAGCGTACCTTGGCTTACTCAAGAAAGCCAAGAAAAGTAAATACGCCTTACTGAAGAAACACCGCAGCCCCGATGTAAGTTTCGAGCCCACCGCTAGTCCCAATCCGTTCTTAACTCGCACGCCCAAGACCCAACAAATCCAAGCGCGAAGACGGCGAGTCACACAACCCAAAAAAAATGAACTGGTATTATGTAAGTGTCAACAGGTCCCAAATGGTCCCATACAATCCTAGGTGGTATCGCACTATCTCTTCCAAAACCTGACAATGTTGTCCATCAAAACTGCTTCCACCACGCCTCACAAATAAAAGATATGAATTCCCACTCCGCTAACATCGCCAGTTTCCGCTCACGTGCATCGCTTGTCCCAAAGATCCCACTAGGTGATCAAATGACCCTATCGTTGCGGACGTGCATACACAAAAAAAACAGCGCTCGTTCAACCTTGAAAATTTTGGTCTAGCACACAAACTATCGTCGGCACCTTCACTCCACCTCCACAAAGTTTACCAACACTAATAATTTCGGGCATCACGACTCGTCATACCGCCGCAACATTTTTACCGCATTTTACCCCTCCAATTATGTTGACAGCGAGCTCTTCCCGACGCACCAAAAATACCAGAACCTTACCTCCACTTCGTGTCACCTCATGAGCCACAATTTTTGCAGCATAATGCCACAAAAATTATTAAAGTTGTTGACGCCAAAAAAAAAATAGGAGCATATCCCTACGAAAGTGGAAAAAAAACAGTCTGTCATAGACCAGCCTGCTGGTATCTCCACCAGTGTGGCCTTGACGTCCGCCACTGCCGCTCAAATCCCATCATCAAATTAATAAAATTTGGGCCCTTGACAAAATCCAGGCCCAAAGTACACTCCCGTCGTGCCACCTTGGTCCTGCAGAGTCCCTAGGACTGTCTCACCGAACTAGCACCAACCAGAGGGAAACGGAGTAGAGTACTCCCTACCTCCGCTATGATTGTTCTCCTCCTCCTCTAACACTCCACTGCAGACCTTCAGCCTGCTCCCATGTTGCCTCCAGCAGCCTCTCTAGCAGCCCAGCAACACTCAAGTGTATTATCACACACTGACAACATGAGTGTTTTTGTGTGGCAGTTAGGGACAACAACCTTTATTATAGTGGTCGAGGAGTGTCAGCAGTCACTCCAGCTCCCAGGCGAAATCGCGGGCTTACAGTGAGTCATTGATCTAGCCAAGATCAAAGGTCAATTGTGTCTACAACAGTCACAACCTTAGTGGGGAAAGTATCTCTAACTGCCCTATTTTTATTTTTTTTCTTTATCTCAGTTATCTCTAAATTTCACAACATAGTTGAGATTCTAGCGTTTCCAAAAATTGTTTTTCTTTTATTTTTCTGATAACGGGTTTGAGAGTCACAACCCTTTTAAGTTTAATGTATCTGGCCTCTTTTCCCAGGGTAGATACGTCTAGGAAAAGGTTGTACTTAGCCCTTTCCTTTTGTGACCTTTAATTTTTATGCACTCTCTAAAAACGGGATGATCATGATATTTACCTCTGATAGTTTTTGCTAGAGGTAGCACCTTGTGAGGACAAGTGTCCTCACGAGGATGTAGTAAAATAAAGAAAAACAACCAAAAGAAAAAAAAAAAAAAATTTAAAGTGCAGTGCTCTTGGCCCTTACGTTAGCCAAGTGCATGCTAATGAAACCAACAACACCCCATCTTTTTCTCTTCTCTCTCCTGAAAATGGGGAGGGCAATTGGCAGGTTGGAAGGAGTAAGACCTCCTTCCCTTCAACTCTTTCCGTTTCCCTCTCCACCCATGAACTTCTCCGACTCCCTTTCAACTTCCTACTCGTCAAGCGCGTCTCCTTAAGCCACAGGATCGCCAATCTTGCGGCCAAAAATATTTGTCTCGTCATGGCGGTAGAAAAAAACGTGATCACACTACCCTGAAGAGACTATGCTTCAACCACGAGGTAGGCTCACCTTATTTTCGTTTTCTCTCTCCCTTTATTTCGTTTTTTTTTTTTCCCTCTCTTTTCCTTTTCTTTCTTTTCTCCTATTGTTCGTCTGACTACCCACGAGAACCAGTTCTTCGTTTCCCCCACTCCTAACCTCAACGTCCACAAGACGTGAGGCGAAACAAAAACGGGGAAAATAAAAAAAGAAGAAAAACATACTAAGTCTTACCTCTCCAATGACAAAAAGTTGAAATATAGATCCCAGTTCGAATCCAGATGCGGTAAAGAAGGAGCATGTCATTTTCACGACGAGCAACCCTGCTCCACAGCCCAACAATTACGACCAAGAGTGAATCTTTGAATAGAATATGGAAAGATACACCAACATGATTTTTGTATCTTGTGCATTGAAAGGGGGGGAAGTAGAGAGGTGTCTATTGCCTACCAACGGTGCCCCTTCCTTGCACGAATGGGGAAGGAGACATTAAAAAAAAAAAAAAAAAAAAAAAAAAAACTTATATGTGAATGCACTTGGCTGCAATCGCGTCAAGGACCCAACCGATCCTCCTAATGCAGTCCGTTCTTCAAAACGAACGGGCGCAGATCCAACCCGTCAATGGTTTGGAGGAGAATGAATCATCTGTTAGAACCTGGAAAGATACAACGATATGACTTTTGTTTTTTGGCATGTGGTGGGCAGCAGAACGGAGCTCCACCTGTCACGTTCGTTGCCCACCATCAACGCCCCCTCCAAAACGGGTGATAAAAAATATAAAATAAAATATAAAAAACAAAAAATATAAAAAAATAAAAGAGAATTTTAAAGTGAATCTTTCCTGAAAGTCTTCCTGGATGCCCGTTCAAAACGACCGTCTCCAACGCCTGTGGAGCCCCAACCTCCGACGGCGCCACAATATCACTTGGCGACTTCTTTTTCCTTCCGCCCCTCCTTTTTTTTTTACGTCATTGGCATAAGCCAACAACCTTTACCTCCACAACCACGGTCTCGCTGGCATGCGTAGGCGGTCAAAAGGCAGACCCGAGTTTGATTCCTACAAAGAAAAAAAAAAAAAAAAAAAAAAAAAAAATGGATCATTTCTCGATCTATGCGTATCATTCATTGCGCAGGGTCACACATACCGCGTGGCCGTGTAATCTTGGTGATCACACGGTCCAAATCGACCGAGCCTCTTCGCATTCTTGTTGGGCTGCTCCAAAAGAAGCTAGCTCAAGTAGTGCATCGTTGGGTTTTATCCCTGTATCTGCTGGGCGGGAATTTGGCATATCATCGTACTGGGCTAGCTCCTATTTCACACTAGATAGGAGCAGCTCTTCAACATGAAAAGTTAAGCCCATGTAGACAACCAACACACGGCCCAGCAGGCTTTCGCTTGCCCCTACCACTTAAACAGTCGGTCGCCGACCCTGAATGCGTGTTCATCCTCATAGGGCAGAACATAGTCCTTTTAACATGTCGGTGTTAGTTGAAGCCCTGGCGGGGCTGCCTTCAAATAAAACAGGTTTAAATCCCCCGCTCTCCAATGTCGTGGCCATACGCACCACGAGGCCACCCTTTTCCTATCCCTTAAACCCCTGAACTGTGTGGCTTAACAATCGCGAACCATAATTTTAAACAAAATAAATTTAAACCTCGTATTTTTATGAACGTTCGCCTCTTCGACCCTTATTTAACGCAGAGAGTGATTGGTCATACCATCAAACCCCGTCGTTATGTTTTCCAGTAGTCAAACGTCCGCTTCTAGCACAAGAATTTCGACTTCTTAATCAACGATCGAGTCAGAATAGCCTGAATAGGCCTCGACAACACGTCAAACTTATCAAATCAAACTTTTGAAACAAAATTCATATTGAAGACTGGGTAACGCCTGACATAGAAAATACAGGGCAAATACCCTTATCAGGGTTTCTATCCCGACACCGTTCCAATTTGCGTATTATTCTCTCTCAAATATGTCGTAGGAAGTACAATTTAACTCTTTGAATTGTCTTTCGGCGCGGATGACTATTTGAATTAGGTTTAATAAAAATATTTTGAAATCAACAATTAGATGGTACCAAAGATATATTTTGGGTTTGAATATACCGGAATCCTATCTGAAGTCAGTATATAGGAAGTTGCGTATTGTTTGGAAAAAAAATCAAGTAGTTTGAGATCTTTTGTACAATTCAGGGAATATTCTTTAATTGTTGAACCATTCAGTCAATTCGAAATTCCCCAAGGTAGGCGAGCACGTATCCTTTTAGAATTAGTGAGGTCGATTTCTTTCTAAGTAGCATACGCAAGTTCAAAAATATACTCTATCCGGGATATGCTGTCTATGTTGGATCTTTTAGGAGACAGATCGTTTATTCCTTTCAACTTTTTTTTTTTTTTTTTTTTTTAGGATTACAGGATTGTTTTGCCAAGGGCAATCATATTGGTTTGAGGAAATTCATGAATGAAATGGCAAACTTGATGGGTTGGTGCGATGTCCTTTGGATCACAATATTGGTAACACCTTTGTCTGTTGTTCCATCGTCTATGTGAGGGGATTGCGTAAGTTGTTTTACAGAGAATTATGACTTGCAGATTATTCATGATGAGAAAACTCATATTCGAGAAGTGTAAAGCAGATTACAAAACTCAAAAGCTTAACTTTTTAGCACCATAGATATCATCGGGAAAATTAGGACGAGCCTATTTAATACAAAAGCATAAGGATGTGAACAAGTAGCGCCCTATTTGTTAATCTTCGAATGAACCTTCACGAAGATCGACAATGATCATGTCCCTTTGCGTAAATAAATTTTTGAAGCGACTTCCTTTCAAATGTCACTTTAACATAAGCAATACAAAACTACTCTCTTCCTTTCTGTATAGGATGAACCAAGGAGTCGTTCATAATGACAATTTGCTTGCGTGAAGTTATGACGTCAAGGAAATGTTATGTCAATTGCTGCATTTTTCTATTATCTCGAATGTAAATTGAGTTGTTGGTAATTTTGAGAAAGAGAATTTTTCAAATGTTTTGTCAATGCTAAGAATAAAAGTGTAGCTATAAGTAGGACTGCAAGATCACTGGTAGGGTACAGATCCGTGAAGTTCTCACTCTTGCTTAGATTTATTGCATATGATTTGGAACGTACCTATACTATGACAATGGGTAAAGTATTGAAACAAATTTTGGCATACCAATGAGAAAGTCGTCGAGTTCAACTTTAGCCTACTTACTTTACGTGCACAATGAGTTCCTTTTTTTTAGAACTTTAGGCAACGATGTGCGTTTGGTTTTCGAAGGGACTCACACAATGCAAACCATTCATTATTTTTTTTACCATACATATCATTATAAAGACCATCTATGAAGAGAAAAAAATTGATTGTTGGTCTGAACAAAATCTAACCAAATCCTAAACATTCACAAAAATCAACAAATCACACTAATAAGATTCGTACAATCTAAATACAAAAAAAAAAAAAATTATTTGAGTGCGCAATATATGCATTTCCATAATAAAAAAATAACTAGATCGAGAAGGAGAGAAAGAGAGTGTGATGGAGAAGGAATAAGCCCACAAAATGACAAAATATAAAAAAATTATCGAAATCAAACTAAAAAAGATCCCCAAGTTCAACTCGATCACCAACACACACACACACACTCTGTCGTCAAAACCCACTTCCAAAACCGGTGCAGGTAGTCCATTGCCAAATACCCACCATCTACCCAGAATTATCATAATTTCGCTTAGTCCGATTATGCAAGTCAAGTTCACATGTGCCCCGCAGTTAGTCATATCCACACGTTAACCCTACTCAAAAATTGTCACCTACCGTCGGACTGGTCAACTCTACGACTCATTTCTACGAAACTAGAACTCGTTAGCTGATTCTCTCGACCACACTAACTTCAAATATTTAGATTCGAGAGAGATAAAGTCGTGCTTACTAAATTTATAGCAAATGTGCATGTACAAAATAACAGAGATTAAACAGGTAAGAGGGAAAATAAGTACGATCTGTACACCTAAACGGCGAGGTGAGGGATTTGGCCACACTCCACACATCGATCCAGGTTGCATTGCCTCACCCGATGAGAAGGGAGAGAAAAAAGGATTTCACATGCATGAGCGTAAAAAATAGACGAGTGATCAAGTTAAGTTGATAATTAAGAACATAAATTAAGGCGCATAGCGTAGAGAAATGTGCGTTTGAGCAAGAAGCGACGTTCAAAGTTACACCCACGCCCAA